TAACCAGTGGGCAGACCTAGCGTAGTGGGCCAGCAAGTGACTCCTCCGCTGAGTCAGTCCTGGGGGCCTCGGAGGAATCTGCAGGGCTCACAGAACGGGGAACTTTACTGACAGACAGGAAGGTGCACATCTCTCTGTGTTAAGGAAAAAGGGCACCGCAAGCATATTACAACTCCCCACCGAGTTGTTTCCTCAATCACCAAGGGTTACCTAATACCCTTGACGAAACCGGCTCCACTCACAGATTGTAAAACTTTGCAAATGTGTTGGGTGTCGCCCAGCCCACAGCTCTACAGATGTCTGTTAAAGAGGCGCCGCGTGCACACGCCCAAGAGGATGCAACGCTCCGAGTGGAGTGCGCACGCACTCCCGTGGGACGCGGCTGAACTCTCCTCAAATAAGCACAAGAATGGCCTCCACAATCCAGTGGGAAAATCTTTGTTTGGTCATGGCACTTCCCTGCTGCCGACCGCCATAACAGACAAAGAGCTGCTCAGAGGATCTAGAGTACTGAGTACGGTCCACGTAATGCGTAGAGCGCAAACTGGACAGAGTAAGGAAAGGGCCTCCTCCGGGGGCAGCGCTTGCAGGGTTACTACCTGATCTCTAAAGGGAGTGGTAGGAACCTTGGGCACATAACCCGGGCGGGGTCTCAGGATAAAGTGAGAAAAATCCGGCCCAAATTCCAGGCAAGAGTCACTGACCGAAAATGCCTCCAGGTTCCCGACCCTCTTAATGGAGGCCAACGCGACCAGCAGAGCTGTCTTCAAGGACAGAAATCTTAAGGATACTGAATTGAGTGGCTCGAAGGGATCTGAACGCAGGCTCGTGAGAACGAGGGCGAGATCCCAAGAGGGCATGAGAGGGGGGGGAGTTGGATTAATTCGCCTAGCGCCTCTGAGGAACCGGATGATGAGGTTATGCTTTCCCACGGTGCCGCCAGCTACCGTGTCATGATAAGCGGAGATGGCGGCAATGTAAACCTTGAGAGTGGCGGGCAACAGCCTGCTCTCCAGCTTCTCTAGAAGGAAAGAGAGCACAACACTGTTCTGGCAAATTCGGGGGTCTTCTCTGCAAGAGACACACCATTCAGTGAATAGACTCCACTTCAGGGTGTAGGCGCGCCTCGTGGAAGGGGCTCTAGCCTGAGTGATGGTATCAACCACCACAGACGGCAGGTTACCTAAGTCTTCCTCGCGTCTAGGGACCACTCGTGGAGGTTCCAGAGATCAGGGCGAGGTTGCCAGATGGTGCCCAGTCCCTGAGAAAGTAGGTCCTCTCTCAAAGGGATCTGCCAGGGGAGGGCGGTCGCGAGGAGGGAGAGCTCTGATATCCATGTCCGGTTGGGCCAGAGGGGCGCAACTAGCAGAACCTGCTCCTCATCCTCCCTGAACTTGCACAACAGCTGTGCGAGTAGGCTCACTGGAGGAAACGCATACTTGCGTGTGCCCCGAGGCCAGCTGTGGGCCAGTGCATCCACGCCGAGAGTGCCCTCAGTCAGGGAAAAGAACAACTGGCAATAAGCGTTCTCGGGGAGGCAAACAGATCGATCTTGGCCTCCCCAAATTGCGCCCATATCAGCTGAACAGACTCGGGGTGGAGTCTCCATTCTCCAGAGTGAATTTGCTGCCTTGAGAGCGCATCAGCTGCACGGTTGAGCATACCTGGGATGTGAATGGCGCGCAGCGATTTCAGCCGCGGGTGACTCCAGAGGAGCAGACGGCGGGCGAGCTGAGACATGCGGCGAGAGCGCCTACCCCCCATGCGGTTGATATACGCTGCCGCCGCCGTACTGTCCGTCCTGACCAGCACGTGTTGTTGCTCCAGCACCAGAAAAAAGCAGTGGAGAGCGAGGAACACTGCCAACAGCTATAGGCGATTGATATGCCAATGCAGCTGGGCACCTTCCACAGGCCCGCAGCTGCATGCCCGTGACACACGGCTCCCCAGCCCATGTTGGAAGCATCTATTGAAACAACAACATGACTGGACGCCTGTCCCAGAGGCACACCGGCCTGCAGGAACGAGGGGTCGTTCCAGGGGCTGAGGGTGCGGCGACACAGCACAGTAACCGAGACTCGGTGTGCACCCGCATGCCATGCGCGTCTTGGAACTCGATCTAGAAGCCAGTGCTGAAGTGGTCTTATATGAAGCAAACCGAGGGGCGTGACAGCCGCAGCGGAAGCCATATGCCCCAGGAGCCTCTGAAAGTGTTTCAGTGGGACCACTATTTTGCTGTCGAGCTCCCTGAGACAGTTCAGCAACAGGCGAGCGCGCTTTCCGGAGAGGCGCGATACCATGGTGACTGAGTTTAGCTCCATCCCGAGAAAAGAGCAAACTCGCCCCGGTGCAGAGGATCTCTTTTCTCGGTTGACCTGCAACCCCAATAGGCGAAGATGCCGGAGCACCTCGTCTCTGTGCATAGTCAATTACTCACGCGAGTGGGCTAAAATCAGCCAGTCGTCGAGATAATTGAGAATGCGGATGCCCGCAAGCCAAAGGGGCACTAAGGCACCCTCCGCGAGTTTGGTGAAGACCCGCGGAGACAAAGAGAGGCTGAAGGGGAGGACCTTGTATTGCCACGCTCGACCTCGAACGCAACCGGAGAAACTGGCGAATGGAGACATGAAAATACGCGTCCTTAAGGTCTATAGCTGCAAACCAATCCTGAGGACGAACGCATCGGAGGATGCACTTCTGCGTAAGCATTCTGAATGGCAGCTTGTGAAGACAGTGTTGCAAAACGCGCAGATCTAGGATTGGCCGTGACCCACCGCTCTTTTTGGGTACGATGAAGTACGGGCTGTAGAACCTGCTCTCTATCTCGGCTGGAGGAACCGGCTCGATTGCACCCTTCGCCAGGAGGGCAGCAATCTCCTCTCGCAAGACAGGGGCGGACAGGGGGTATACCCTGGTGAAATACCTGCCCGTAAACTTGGGGGGCTGTTTCGCAAACTGAATCGCATAGCCAATTCCGATTGTGCGTATGAGCCACCGCGAGGGGCTGGCCCACGCTAACCAGGCAGGCAGAGGCCTCGCTAATGGCGTCATTGTTACAACCGCTGACATACCAGAGGTGGGGCAGCGTGGAGCAGGTGTGCTGATCCGGGAAGCGCAAGGGTCCCGTGGAAGCATCCTGACCCGCAGCTTTGTAAGCTGTAGCTCAGAGGGAGCAGAAAACTTACAGGCTTTGGATGGGAGACGAGGCGGACCCCGCCAAAAAGAGGCGCCGCGCGGATTAACTGCAATCGTGCACTTAACCTGAGGGATCGCCACATACCCCCTGGCTGCTCCACCGTCAAGAGTGGTGAGGATGGAGGGACACGCAGCACGAGCAGAAAAAAGTGCCCTTCAAGTCCGCGTGAGCCTACTGTGCACCTCTGGGAAGAAGGGAATGCCCCTCTAGTCGGTCTGGCCGCGGAGCTGGAGGATAAACCATCTCCAACCCACGGCCGAAGCAGCCCCGGGAAAGCACGGCTAACATGTCCATTTCAGGATCTGTTTTAACAGCGCTCACCTGCCCGAAGGGGGCGAGCGGGTCTGGATCATCATCGCACAATGAAAGCCCTCCCTCCGATGACGTGCTGGATGTCTGGTCTCCGGTGTCATCGAGCGTAAGGGCTACCATCTGTTAGACGGATCGCTTCCCCCGCCCGGAGCTTAGATGGAGCGCTTGGAGCAGCGAGAGGTCCGCGGGCCAGTGGGCGATGGATTATCTTTTGTTGAACCCTCAGATCTGCCCGAGTGTCCGGTGCAAAGCAGGGGACAACTGGGGTGATTTGCCCTTTTGCAAAGGCTAGCCGCGATCTTTACTGTGCAACAGTCATAGCATCGCAATGACGACATGAACTGCCCGCGAGCAGTGCATTAACATGCTGGAGCATGTAACACAGTGCCTGTGCCCATCATCCGAGGACAGAAACCCACAGCATCCAGAAACGCACAGTCGGAGCGCCGTCCTGAAAAGGACGTGCTGCACGACTGTGTTGCTCTCTTTGTGAAGTTGCAACTTTATACGTACCGCTCTGGAGGACCGGACCCAAAGGATCGCCAGACAAGGGAGAAAACCCAGCTCGACTGTCTGCCGCTGCGTTGTACACACTCTGGACCGGGAGAAGCTCTCGTTCGCTCGGCATCGCTGGATCACAGCAGGAGGAACCCTAATTGACTCGATCAGAAAAGTCTCTGAAGCGAAAGGGATGGCGTTTGCTCGCTCCAGGTGTGCTTATATGCTGGGATAATTGACAATGAAGCACCCCTGTGCAAGCTTACGCTGCCAATTCATTGCTTTCATTGGCCCGTTCAATACTCTTTCAGACAAGCAGCTTCTGAACCGAATCCTCCCATACGTGGCTTTTAACATCAAATCCACTTATAGCACTGGAGTTCCCCAACCGAAGGGGAACCCGCCTTGTATTGTATTGCATTGTATTTTACTATTTATTTATCTTTGTATGTTTTTTTCTTCTTTTTTTATGCTGCTATTAGGATGTGCTAGTTAATTAAGATGCTTTTACTGTGGGTTATTTGTTATATCTCCATGTTCCTAAAAAGAATTAATAAAAAAAAAAAAAAATAGAAAAAAAAAATAAATAAATAAAATCATCAAGTTCTTGGTGTAGAAATTGTAACCTCTTCCTCTCCATCATTGTCACCACTGGCTATTTCTGACATCGTGGTTGTTTGATATTCACATATTTTCTTGTTTATGGAGTGTGAGAACAGTAGTTAAACACTCTGTTCTGATCCATCAGGAATGAATGTATCCAGCTGTGACTCCTGATAATCTTCATTCTTCATTTAACAGACATGATCATCAGTGCACTACTGGGCTTGGTGCCAATTATGTTAAAAATGACATGAGGGGAGGTAGAAGGTCATCTATTGGTGTTTATTATTGTCCTGTTCGCTAACATTATGTGCATATGCTTTAAGCTGCTGATTTTGACATATAGTTCTAGGGGTTTGTATGGACTTACCTTTGAGAATACAGCTCTTACCTCTATTGCATTGAGTCCACTCTGTGATATGTTCAAGTCCTGTTTACCTAAGAAAAGATTTAGAATCAGACTGTTACAATAACTGAATATAGAGTATAATATAAAAGAAAAGCGTATTTAGCAAATATATTGTTGAAACTTAAATACATATTTGAAATTTAATAAACATAACATTAATAATACTACATTTTACAACTCAGTAAAAGTTTAGTTTCATTTCAAAATCATTATTTGACTGATCTGATTATCAATGAATATTTTTTAAAAGTATGATATAGTTTTAACCTAAAAGTTGTGGCTATATGTGCATGCATAGATTCACTGTTACCATGTCAACACTGTGCCTGCAGAAATTAACATGTTTCTAGCATCTTTCTAAGATATATTAGCCTTTATATTTTAGTCTAACATGTTTAAATTAAGGGTAGGGTATTATGAAATTTCTGCATTGAGAGTTGTTAGAGTTGAGTTTTCACACAAATCAAAGACCAAGTGCTAAAAACATTTTGCTATTATGACAGATAAAGTCTTGTTCTAAATCATACTTCTGGGTAAGAACCTGTTTTGGATGTTTTTTACATGGTTCTAACTTCACCATGGATGGATTTCATAATATGGCTACTAGACTACTACAATTCTGGGGGTCACTATCTGATTCCAAAACACTTTTTCTGCTGTACAATTAATTTTTACATTTTAACTAGATTTTTTTTTAAATGCTTTTGTTTAACAACTGGAATATCTATTTGACAGTACCGGCATATTAAAAGTTATTCATTCATTTTCTTTTTTAATAAAGGGGCTTAGTCCCTTTATTAATCCGGGGTTGCCACAGCAGAATGAACCGCCAACTTATCCAGCAGGTTTTTACGCAGCGGATGCCCTTCCAGCCGCAACCTATCTCTGGGAAACATCCACACACACTCATTCACACACACTCATTCAAACACACACAAACACACACACACACACACACACACACACACACACACACACACACACACACACACTCATACACTACGGACAATTTAGCCTACCCAATTCACCTGTACCGCAAGTCTTTGGACTGTGGGGGAAACTGGAGCACCCAGAGGAGACCCACAGGAAGGTAGGGAGATCATGCAAACTCCACACAGTAATGCCAACGGAGCCAGCCGGGGCTCAAACCTGCGACCCAGCGACTTTCTTGCTGTGAGGCGACAGCACTACCTACTGCGTCACTGCGTCGCCATTAAAAGTTTCATTTAATTATATTAAAAACTATTTAGAATGAAATATTAATCTCAGAATTTTGAAAAGCCAAATATATAAAGAACAATAAAAAAAAAACATAAATCATCAACTCCGACCACATCATCAAGTATTGCTGATGACAAAATGGTGGTAGGTCTCATCAGTAACAATGATGACAGTACTACAGAGAGAAAATTAGACAGCTGAATGAATGGTGTAGCACTAACAACCATCCTTAATGTGAGAAAGACAAAGGGATAGTTATGGACTTCAGGAGGAACTCCCTTGAGCACCTACAAGTATCAATAGCATGAAGTTACAAGTGCTTATCACAGAGGATCTCACCTAGATCAAGATAGCACACCAACGCCTATACTTTCCCATCTGTTGAAAAGGGGAAGAGAGTACAGAGTGCGCTGATTAGCTGCATCATTGTTTGGTATGGAAACTGCAATGCTGCTGACTGCAAGACTTCCAGTGGACAGTGAAGGCAGCTGAGATGATCATTGCCTCGCAAAACATCATATCACCCCTGTTCTTGCCTCATTGCACTGGCTACCTATAAAATACAGGGTTGATTTTAAAATTCTTCTTTTCACTTATAAAGCTTTGCACAATTCTGCCCCGGCCTATGTCAGTGAGCTTATTAGGCCATATACAGCTTGTAGACTCTTAAGATCCCATGATCAGTTTCTTTTGTCTGTCCCTCGGTCTCGCTGCAAGTCAAAGGGTGCTTAGATTGAGCGCTTGGAGCAGCGAGAGGTCTGCGGGCCCGTGGGCGAGGGATTATCTCTCGTTGAACCCTTAGATCTGCCCGAGTGTCCGCTGCAAAGCAGGGAACAACTGGGGTGATTTGCCCTTTTGCAAAGGCTAGCCGCGATCTTTACTGCGCAACAGTCATAGCATTGCAATACAGCTGAATGAATGGTGTAGCACTAACAACCACCCTCAATGTGAGAAAGACAACGGGATAGTTATGGACTTCAGGAGGAACTCCCTTGAGCACCTACAACTGTCAATAGCATGAAGTTACAAGTGCTTATCACAGAGGATCTCACCTAGACCAAGATAGCACACCAACGCCTATACTTTCCCATCTGTTGAAAAGGGGAAGAGAGTACAGAGTGCGCTGATTAGCTGCATCATTGTTTGGTATGGAAACTTGCAATGCTGCTGACTGCAAGACTTCCAGTGGACAGTGAAGGCAGCTGAGATGATCATTGCCTCGCAAAAAAGATCATATCGCCCCTGTTCTTGCCTCATTGCACTGGCTACCTATAAAATACAAGGTCGATTTTAAAATTCTTCTTTTCACTTATAAAGCTTTGCACAATTCTGCCCGGCCTATGTCAGCGAGCTTATTAGGCCATATACAGCTTGTAGACTCTTAAGATCCCATGATCAGTTTCTTTTGTCTGTCACTCGGTCTCGCTGCAAGTCAAAGGGTGATCGAGCTTTCAGTGTTGCGGCCCCAAGGCTCTGGAACAGCCTCCCTCTGAACATCAGAATCTCTCCTTCTTTGGATGCTTTTAAATCTAACTTAAAGACACATTTTTACTCTCTTGCCTTTGACTGATGCATGCATGTTATTTTTTATTATTTATATTTTAGAATTACTTTTAAATATATTTCATTGTATTTTTAATACCAGTTATTTTTAGTTTTATTGTCTAGTTTATTTTATTGTAAAGCACTTTGGATCAACTACGGTTGTGTAAAATTGTGCTCTATAAATAAAGTTTGCCTTGCCTTGCCTTGCAACCCTCCATCCAGAGTTTTACTTTTACATTGCCAAAGCAAATAATGTGAATGACTCCAACTATCCCTTCTACCGTCTCTTCCAGCTCTTGCCATCAGGATAGAGGTTTAGCGTATTAGTGCTTACTTAGCTAGACTACTAAACAGCTGTTAGAGCCCTCAATTCCAATTATTTTATTCTTCTAATAAATCTTATACACAATCCCAGGTCCCAAAACCAGGACCTCCTCTCCACAAAACATTACACAATTCTGAGTGTGCTCTACATAGCTGAAGTAGGCATCACAAACCACCTGTAGAAAACACACTCTTCTTCACCTCTCTGACACTTTCCCTGACAATTGCACCTGTTTGCACATTTGTAGCAGACAATTCTCTCCAACAGACAATCACTTCATATCTGTGGGAGAAGAAAAAAACATTGTGTACATCACACAGGTGAGTGATGCAGAAAGCAGCTGCAGAAACACTCTTTTGTTTATTTGCACAAGACACTTTACTTAAACTCTATCTTACAAGTTAGAGCAATGTCTTGCACAATATTGTTTAGTCTTACGTAAATAACTTGTTTAAGCAGTCTTAGTTATGTGTATAATTATGTAATTATAGTTTATGTACAGTTACATCTATCTGACTTTCCCATCCTGATTTTTATACCTGGTTTACCCTCCTTTGGCAGCAATAACTTCAACCAAATATTTCTTGTAGTTTCAGATCAAACCTGCACAATGGTCAGGAGGGATTTTGGACCATTCCTTTTTACAAAACGTTCTGAGTTGAATTCTAGAATAATGGATGATTTACAACATATAAATGTGTCTTTGTTGTACCTGAAGGAGAACCTTGTCTTCCTCTCAACTCAAGCTGAGTACCGTTGCTCTTGATGGGGTGAGTCTTGGCTCCCTGTTGTTTTTCCAACTCCCCTGAAAAGGCAATGAAAACAGACAAAGATAATTAAACATGTGCCACAAACACATACATACCAGATCCACAAATTCAACAAAATCTCCAAACCACCACACTTACAAACAAGGATAGATGATAATTGCCTGTAATTTCTAATTAGGCTACAAATTATTTTTTCACACTTGCAAGGGAACTTAAATGTAAATTAGCACAAATTTAGGGAAAATTTGCCATGTGATTTAATAAAAAACATTAAAGAGAGTTATGACAATAGAGTATATATGTTCTTGTTTTATTTATGTTGTGTTTTGCACAAACAGACTTCTTGTCTTCAGAGACATGTGAGGTGAGTTTTAACTTACTTGCTAACATGACCATTAAGCAACAGTATGCTAAGCAAAGTATATTTACTATATGTTAAATCTTAATTATATAACTAAAAATATCCCTTTTGTTGAGTATAATTATAATTTAGCCTACATTTCATCAACAACACATAACTCAGGATGAGCAGCATGGATACAGTTTAATGGTAATGGTGGAAGCTATTTGAAATACAAATGCATCAGTTGTTGCCTTGATAAAAAAAAAAAAGTTTAACATAAACAGCAATGCTATTCTGTCATAGCTAGAAATAAATACTAAAAATAGGATCCAATTGCAAGTATCTTTATTGACTGTGAGTCAAACAACAAGGGGAAAAAGTCCAAACAGAAATAAGCAAAACTAAAGTACTAGAGTGGTCACTTGTAGATGGGAACAGAAGTCAAACTGTGGAACAGAGAAGCAGATCAGGGGCCCAGAGTACAATCCACCCCAGTCCTGACAAAAGACTAAAATACATGAACAGCCAGAATGAACTGACAAGAGACAAAAGGAACGCTGTCCAAATATAGCCAAGATAACAGGCTGCAGCCAACAGGCTAATCAGAACAGCAGAAGCTCTGCCATAGCCTGTGACATAACAATTGGAAATTGGAATCTTTCCCCAATTTCTGTGGGGAAAGAGAAGATTTTTTCAACGCATTTCTAAACATAATAGGTTTAATACCTAATTTCTAATAACTGATTTATTTTATCTTTGCCATGATGACAGTAAATGATATTTTTTCACTTTTATATAGCTTATATAGCTAATTCATAACTAGGTTAATTAGGTTAACTAGGTAGGTTGAGATAATTAGGCAAGTCATTGTATAATGATGGTTTGTTCTGTAGACTATCGAAAAAATACAGCTTAAAGGGGCTAATAATTTTGTCCTTAAAATGGTGTTTAAAAAATTTAAAAACTTATTTTATTCTAGCCAAAATGAAACAAATAAGACTTTCTCCAGAAGAAAAAAAATATTATCAGGGATACTTTGTGTTTCCTTGCGCTGTTAAACATGATTTGGGAAATAATAAAAAAATAAAATAACTTAAAAAAGGGGGAGGGGGTGGGGTGGGGGTCTAAATTAAAACAATGTCAAAATTTATTTGCTTTTCTAACAGAGATTTTGTGAAAAAAAAATCTAGTTTGAATTTTTTCAAATCAGGTTTTCATAAGATTCACACATAAACAGCAGACAATACAGCAAAGTCTAGCTAAAAACAGGCTAGCAACACTTACAAATATGGGCTTATGACAATATGATTTGATTCATTTGTAAATGTCTGCAATATGAACTTTATTTTGATGTTACTTCTAATAAAATGCTAATCATAAAGTAGAATCATGCTTTCTTTCCTAAAGCTGTTTTTAAGCTATATGTATCATGAAAAGCACTATGCAAATAAATGTGAATTGAACTGAACTGAAATTGAAAGTCCACTCACATTCAATTCTTATCTGTTCCATCTCTGACACTTCAGCAATTGATTCTTTCAGGTCCTCTACGAACTTGAGCAGCTCCTCTGCATTTTGAGCACAGAAATTCAACACCTGCTTCTTTTCTGAGCCTGAACACGGAGACACAATCGTCATGGCGTGAGGAAAGTCTGAAACATAGGAAAAACAGACAACATCAGACAGAGTAAATAGAAATGTAGATTATTATTTATTGACAATCTAAACTACTTAAATTGGCATTTAGTAAATAAAAGCAGGATAAAAAATGTCTTACACAGTGAATTTAACTACTGTAGTTTGCATGTGTCGATGGATAAGAAAGAAAGACTGTCACATCTGAGGTTGTAAGTAAAACACTTAATTACTCCCCTGAATGATATATGGGTCCTCCCATGATTTTTGTGATTCCAAACTCCAATCCCTCTGCATTGTTTGCCTAATGTTTCGGGATATAACGTTTCACCAGGGAGACCATCTGCCTCTCCGCATCTGTCTTTAGTAGAATAAAACCCCCTCCTTTACATGCACATCACAAAGCATTAATTTATGATGGTTAGTGATGTATGTATATATTTTTGTATCGCTCCAAGCCAATAGTAAAGTTAGCATATGCAGTTGCAGACTATTATGTGTTCTGGCATTCATCACACTCACACATTAATTATTTTTAGGAATAGAGTCAGTATCTCCAGTTACCTTGACTGACACTGAATTGGTGATTAGTTAAATTTGCTGTTAAAGTAATTGCCCATGAGGCAGCTGATTTAAAGTAATGTCAATCCCGTCATAATGGTGACTTGCAATGTCTGTGATGAGTGTTCCATTGTCCAAATTTTTGCGAACATTTTTTTAGTCTGCCCATAAAGATTGTGGATAAAAAAATCCAGTACAACTCATCTCTGGTATGGCCAGAATCTTAAAGGAGAGCCTGAACATCATTACTGCCAGCAGAGGTTGGTTTAAACCCTTTAACGGTAATGTCTAGTTATCTAACCTATAATGTGTTAACGTGTTTTATAATATTGTTTTACAGCCACAGATAATGGCATTATGCATTGAAGTCAATGACTGCTAATTTCTAACATTTTCCAAATGCCAGTAAACAATAACTTTTAATTGTCTTTTATGATACATTGCTTTATACTTTACAAACATGTCAGTGTGTATTTATATTTTTATTGTTATTTTAAATCATAGATTAATGAAATTCTAATAGTATCTGATTTCAAGATTCTTTGTAACATGATCTATAAACAACTTTATATTGCTGACTGGTCTGTCGGAGTAACTTCTAGACACAATTTTTTTTTCCAAATTCGGTTTCTGCTTTGATTCTTTTGCTGTTGTAAAAGTTTAACTTGCACTCAAACTGAACTATTGCTTTTTGTAATTTTAATATAAATGTATTTATATTATAGGTGGGCATATGATGTTTTATCTAGATAAATATCGAAATTAGTCTATATTAATCTCGAAATTAATCTAGATTAATTTAGATTAAAATGACTCATTTGAATTTTGATGAAGGCATTCAGAATAAGTGTGCCACCCAAATAATAAGTCTTTGAGAATGGGTTTCTCAAGCCAGGTGGTGCATAAGACGAGGGGCCCATCGCCTGTTTTCAAAATGCATCACAAACTGCTTGAGAAACTGTTCTACTATGATAATTGGGGATAACAATAAGTTATGTTCAATAAGATGTACTTGTGTTTACTAACTGTTTATTCAGTTAAACAGTTTGAACTTGTAGGCCTGCATAAGCTTGAAACAGTGATTTTTGATCACCTTAATTCAACTAAAGTCATAACTGAACTAAACATATTAGTGACATTAATGAAGTAAACACCGTGATCAGTGAACACCATCTTGTAGGACTTTTCCAACATATTTTCTGACAATATCCACGCACGCGGCAGTCAGTAAAGGACCGCACACACACACATCACGAAACGCAGAAGTTTTTTTCTTTCCATTTGGCGTGTATTATTAAATTCCATAACATTCTCACCAGTCCTTACTTCTACTCCTTATCTACTACCCCAGTTCAGTCACAGGGGCATGAATAAAATGTTCATGAGTTAAAGTGAAACTGCCAAACTGCAGTTAAAGTCAGGAATCCTGCTGATTTAATTCAGAAGGGCACTTTTTTGTCAGATGGCTCACTGGTCAGGTATACATGCGTTAAAGCAACACGTAAATGCCGATTGTAGCCCACCACTAATTTATAAATATACAATTAATCAAAAATATAACCTTTGCTGTTGATTTACCCAGGCCATACACGTTGTGTGTGTTTTTTTTTTTGTCTCTTTTAAAAAAATAAAAATAAAAAAGATTTGATTCTCCCTCAGTCAATCACTACGAGTTTATGTCGAGTTGATTCAATAGGAGATTCACTTAGATGCATTAATCACTCTAATTTTTATGAAACAGGCCAATGGAATGCATGTGAAATTAGAGAATGCAGCTCTCACATGTGTAGCCACTGTCTAAAACCTGTAAGTATCATTGGGAGTTACATAGGAATTTTGTGTATCTGACTATATATCTTATCAGCGAAGAGAAAGTGACACAAATTTATAATTTCTCTACCTTCTGGGTGACCCGAAGGTCTGTTCTGAATGAATGGTGAATATAAAAAGGGATATCAGAGCTCATTTTCAACTAAGTTAAGGGAAATGGCACTACTTAGCTAACGTTTTCTTTCCCAAACACACGTTTTAGATGCCATTTATCAAACTCGAGTTAATAAACTGAATCTTTCACTATATAATGCTGTGTTCACACCAGACGCGGAACGCGTGGATAAATCGCGATATTCGCGCGTAAATAGTCACGTGAACATTTGAGGTTACTCGCTTGATTTGCGCGTTAAACCATGCTTCATTCGCGCTTCAAACCCCGCTTCATTAGCGCGTCAAACCCCGCTTCATTCGCGTGTCAAATTCACTTCAGAACAGACGCGGATTCACGTGATGGGCAGGGCTTCTGTCTGTCCCGTGACTCTAGCTTTATAGCTAAAGGGCTAACATGGATTTTATAAAGAAAATAACAGTGTTTATGGGCTTTATGAAGGATGATAAACGGCGTCAATACATTGGTGTGAACGCAGCATAAGACTTGTCACGATACTGAATTAAAAGAAAAAACGGCAATTCCGTGCTAACATTTAAGGTACTGTTGATGGCTTTCCTTTAACAGCGCTGATTTGCCATTGCATTCGGGTTTTCAACAGAAATGATTGTGATTGGCCGAGAAGGTCATCAGTTCACCCACCGCTGTATACTGTGCACAAACACAGATGAGCCAAGGGATCTGCTTGATGACTCGACTGATCTTGACGGCTGCTTCACGCTCCGTGTATCTGTGTTTGCACTGGGTGAAGAGCAGTAAACTGAGTGCAAACCAAACACAGATACACGGAGACTGAAGCGAGAAGCTGTGAAGATCAGTCGAGTCATCCGCACTCAGCAGCGCTTCCATGTTAGCGGGAAATAGCCAGGTTTAAAACTTCAAGCAAGATAGATAGATAGATAGATAGATAGATAGATAGATAGATAGATAGATAGATAGATAGATAGATAGATAGATAGATAGATAGATAGAAACAGTTTGAAGATAGATAGATAGATAGATAGATAGATAGATAGATAGATAGATAGATAGATAGATAGATAGATAGATAGATAGATAGATAGATAGATGATCGATAGATAGATAGATAGATAGATAGATAGATAGATAGATAGATAGATAGATAGATAGATAGATAGATAGATAGATAGATAGATAGATAGATAGATAGATAGAAACAGTTTATAGATAGATAGATAGATAGATAGATAGATAGATAGATAGATAGATAGATAGATAGATAGATAGATGATAGATAGATAGATAGATAGATAGATAGATAGATAGATAGATAGATAGATAGATAGATAGATAGATAGATAGATAGATAGATAGATAGATAGATAGAAGCAGTTTAGATAGATAGATAGTTTTGAGGTCACAAAGTTAGATCTAATGTTAATGACAGTCTTTTGCAATGGAAGTCTATGGGACAGTTGTTGCTAGGGTTCAGAATCTGGTAGTTAGGGTGTGGCTAGAAAGTTAAAAGCTCATCAGTTATTGGCAGTTTGGTAGTCTGAGTTAAATGAGCTCAGCCATTAGTCTGGTGGACAGTCTGATGCAGAGTTATGAGCTCACAAAGTTTGATCCCATGTTAAATCAATGAGAGTCTTTTGAATGGAAGTCTATGGGACAGTTTTTAGGGTCCAAAAGTGGTTGCTAGGCCGTGGCCAGAAAGTCAAAAGCTTATTAGTTATTGGCAGTTAGGAAGTTTGAGTAAAATGAGCCCAGTTAGAAGTCTGTGCGACAGTCTGACGCAGAGTTATGAGGTCACAAAGTTTGGTCCAATGTTAAGTCTATGGGATTTTTCCGGCGGTCCCGGGACGTTTTTTAGAAGACCTAAAGTCGGATCAGTCGGAAAAGATATAGCAACATGAGTCAGAAAAGTTTGGAGGTCTGGTGCGAGTTTGGTGGTCATAGCTTGAAAGCTCTAGGAGGAGATAGTCTTGCAAACTTAGTCTCAGAAGAATAAAAAAATAAAAACTAGAACCTAAAGTTCGTTGACGAACTTTGATGTTGGCTTGAGAAAGCCAACGTGACTGTGCCAGGGACTCAAAGGCAGTTGGCAGGAAGCACAGCGGTTGAGAAGTGGTTGCTAGGCGGTTGCTAAGATGTTGCTAAGGCATTCCTAGGTAGTTGCTAGGGTGTTCTGAGTGGTTTCTAGGCTGTTGCTAGGGTCCACTGGACTGTTAATCGGAAGGCCTCATTTACATTTTTGATCAAATCGAGAGAGAGAGAGAGAGAGAGAGAGGACTGATTTGTTCAGGTTGTTTAATGCAGATCACTATAGTATAGTTAGTATTTATAGTATATATTATAATCTGAACAAAATTACATTATAATAAACATCATATGAAGAAAAATATTAAATTAAAATACTAATGAAACAATAGCACATGCATTTAGTTAATTTGTTTTTTATTTAATCAGTCTTATCAGTTTTGCAGTTAAAAAAGAGTACAGTCAATTTACAGTAATTTGCAGCATTATATATATAGTTATAGTTATATAGTT